TTCCATAGAGTTTTGAATTTTAAAATAAATTAGAAATCACTTCAGAGTTTCCCCATCTTAGGAAGTGTTGTAATGAGTAGCGTGTGCACCTGTTGATGGCCCTCCGGCCCTTGGCTGTCCTCTATCATTCCGGTTAATATTCCCATACATCTGGCATCCCTGTTGGGCTGATCTTTAACCCGTGCTTCACAATATCGTCCCTGTATTTTGTGTCTATCATACAGCAGTATTTCAACAATCGTTCAAGCATGATTTTCACTTCATTTTCACCAATTAATCTATTCAGTCCTATTTTACATATCTTCTTTAATTTTTTTTTCCAGTGCTGGACCTTGACCTCTGGTCCTAGATGCTGTCCCTAAGCTCCTGTTGCTCAAGGCCAACACCAACACTTGAGCTACAGCACCTCTTCTGGATTTTTCTGAGTAGTTTATTGGAGATGAGAATCTTAGAGACTTTCCTAACTGGTCTGGCTTCGAACCATGATTCTCAGATCTCAGCATCCTGAGTAGTTAGGAAGACAGGCATGAGCCACCAGCACCCAGCTCTAGTTCTAAGGGTTTTTTTGTTTGTTTGTTTTTGTTGTTGGTCGTAGGGCTTGAACTCTGGGTCTGGGCACTGTCCCTAAGCTCTTCAGCTCAAGGCGAGTGCTCTACTAGTTGAACCACAGCACCACTTCTGATTTTCTGGTAGCTTATCAGAGATGACTCTTATGGCTTTTCCTGCCCAGGCTGGCTTTGAAGCACGATCCTCAGATCTCAGCCTCCTGAGTAACTAGGATTACAAGTATGAGCCACTGGTGCCTGGCTCTAGTTCTATTTTTAATGAAGGTTTTATTTTGGAATAATTTTAGCTTTGCAGCAATATTGCAAAGTTGATACAGAGAGTTCTCTTATACTTTTAACCCAGTTTTAGTGTCTCTTAATGTTATCATTTTATACCTTCATGGTACATTGTCCAAAAATTGTGATAACAAATTTACTAGTAGCTAAATCAGAATTTATTCAAGTTTCTTCAGTTTTTCCATTGTGTTTGTTTCTGTTCCCGATTCAATTCTGGATCCCACATTCTATTTAGATACCATGTATTCTTAGGAGTTAAGTTTGTGGGAAAGATGCTAGAGATTGGTTTTTCCTGAAGATTCCAATGTCCTGTTGCCCTCCTGTGACTCATTATGTGCATTTCCTTTGTTACATTAGTCACAATGATTATATATTCTAAGAGACAATTTCCTGCGTTAATTGACTTCACTCTCACAGTGGTAGATAATTATAACCTGATTTGGTCAGTGCAGTAACTTAGGTCATGTTTCCCATTATGGAAGCATCTTCCACACATCGATGCGCTGCAGTGCTAGCCTGAGGCTAGCCACCAAGACGGATGCCTGATGAAGCAAGAGGAAGGCAGGGTGGACTGCAGTCCCAGGGTGACGGCGGCAGCCAGGAGTTTTGTAACCAGGCCTTGGCCTGTAGCAGGTGATGAGGAAGGGTGGTGACTGAGACCGGAGCCTGGACATGAACTGCATGCACCTGTGGAGTGTCGTAACTGTTGACCAGGATTTCGATGACTCAAGATGGACTGGGCAGGGAGGCTACACCTGCGGCCCTGAAGCCCACTTCCGGGCGTGGCTCAGTACAGAACAAGGGTACATTTTGTGAACTGTTTCCAGAACCTTGCTGAAACTGTGGAAAATGAGGACACATATGCTTATTATCTTCCTAACAGGTCTGCTGTCTAGTAACAGCTCAACTGTATGGGGGAGAAGATGTATTAGGTTTTAGTGACAAAACAAGTGTTTTCTTCTTGTTGTTGCTGCCCTGGGGTTTAAACTCAGCCTGGACGCTGCTCTTGGGCCTTGGTGCTCAAGGCTGGCACTCTAACCTTGGGCCACAGCTCCACTTCCAGCTTTTTGGTGGCTAACTGGAGATATGTCTCGTGGACTTTGATGCTTGAGCTGCCTTTGAACCACAATCAGCCTCTGAGTAGCTAGGATTACAGGCGTCAGCTCCTGGGCTTACAGTTTTATTTTTCTTAACTGCATGTGTTGCTGGACTCAGGACTGGCATGTGTATGCATGTGTATACACGCACATACATGTGTGTGTGCGCACACACGTTATCATGGATCTATCCTAAGGTGTTGTCCAATTTCCCACAAATGAAGACAGAACTAAAATCTCTCAGGGAATGCCCCAAGCTGGCAGTGAGCATGGGAGCGGGCGCATTCTGTCCAGAGGGCTGTGGGACCCTCAGCCCAGCATCTTCCTCAGAAGCCACTCGGAGGTGAGCACTCATCACTCACAGGGCCTCAGGACTTGAGACAAGAGCTAAGTGAGTTTGCAGATACACCAACATTGGCTATTTGTATTGTTTTTCTCTTCTTTGCTCTTTAATAGATTTTGTTGGTGGTGGTGGTGGTCATGGGGCTTGAACTCTGGGCCTGGGCTCTGTCCCTCAGCTCTTCAGCTCAAGGTGAACACTCTACCACTTGAGCTCCAGTGCCACTTCTGGTTTTCTGGTGGTTAATTGGAGATAAGAGTCTCACTGACTTTCCTGCCAGGGCTGGCTTTGAACCGTGATCCTCAGATCTCAGCCTCCTGAGTAGCTAGGATTACAGGCGTGAGCCACCGGTGCCTGGCTCTTCAATAGATTTTAAAGTAGGGAAACTCTGTGTTTTGCTCTATTTCTCCTATTCTGTGGCTCCCATACACAGCCCTTTGGCTCCTAAACACTCTATGGCAGCCACAGACCCACACAAGCCTTCTTGGCTGAAGACTGATTTAAAAGTGATCACGTTTTCCTCAGCAAAATTTTCATTTCTTGCATTCATTTCAGTTAGGGAAAGTCATTTGATCATGTATTTGTCTATAATAGTACCTTTCCTTAGCTGTACATGCAAAACTCGAGACTGCAGTGTCTTGACCTAAAAGCCTGCAACCCAAGTTATGGATGCTCATAGAAAGTACTTTGGGGCACTGAACCTTTTAAAATTGCATATTTGGGCACACTCCTACTCTACCATCTCTTCCTCCTTGTCCTAATTTTCCTTCTAAGTGACCAACTTGGTCTCTTTTCCTTTTTCTCATCTTTCCATCTGGTGTTAAATTGTTTCCCTTCTGATGTTAGAAACATTTTAACCTTTTTAAAAAATATCCACCTTGACTACCAAGTAGGCTCTTTGTATGATGTGTGTGTGTGTGTGTGTGTGTGTGTGTGTGTGTGTATGCACATGTGTGCATGCACGCCAGTCCTGGGCTTGAACTCAAGGCCTGAGCGTTGTCCCTGAGCTTTTGTGCTCAAAGCAAGCGCTCTACCACTTGAGCCACGGCTCTCCTTCTGGCTTTTTGCTGGTTAATTGGAGATGAGAGTCTCACAGACTTTCCTGCTTGGGCTGGCTTTGAACCACGATCCTCCTGAGTAGCTGGGATTACAGGCATGCGTTACTGGTGCCCAGCTCTTTGTATGAATTTTACACAGAAATTCATTTTTTCCTGTGTGACCCAATAAATCCTCTTTTATCTTTGCTCTGTTTACTATAAATACATGAATGGTAATCTTTACCATTATTTCTTTTGTTACAGTGTTTTATCCTTTTTAACCATCCAAATTTCAGTTTGGGGGAAACACTACTTGTTCCACTTCATTATGAATTTCTCCTTGTTGCTCATAGGTCTCACCACACCCAGCTCCCAGTCTTTAATTACATGTGGGATTCTTACACAACTATTTCTTTGTATGGTTAAACAATTACAGGAGTGATCTTGAGATGCTGTGAGAACGTATGCCTGGCATACTGTCTACATCCCACTGATACCTCAACGAATCACAATGTACTCTCTCAACTCAAGGGTCATTCTTCAGTCCTGTTCCTGGGGCAGGTAGGAAGCACTTACTGTGCGACTGATTGTGTTAGTTACAGCTGGTCAGTGTGATGACGGGGTCCCTGTGAAAGGTGTGATTCCTCGCTCCAACAAGCTGCAGTTTGTTTTTGCAGCTCTGGGAGTCACACACAGCCAGGATCTCATAAATATGGTACAAATGCTCTACCGCGGAGCTACATCTCCAGCCAAGAAGCTACATGGTATTCATAGAGGTGGACATATCCATCATCGGGAGAGCAATGCAAAATACATGCCAGCAGAGCAGTGGGCTTATAGAGACATGTTGCAGCCTGGGGGCTGTCACCAAGGTACAGACCCTAACTGGTACCCTTTGAGAACTGGGTTTGTGTATTGGAGAACAGAATGAAAGAACCATCTAAAGTTGAAAAATGAAGAGAAATTTTCAAAGCCTAATTCAAAGCCTAATTCAGCAATGTGAAATAACAAAACAGACTTTGAAAGCTGTGCCTGAGCACTTGTTAGGTGACTTGTAAGGCTGACTACAACCACATCTAATCGTGAGAAATCAGTCAAAGAATTCAAACATGAACTCTTCTGTCATCCAGGTAAAACATCATGGGCAGAAGGAAAAAGTATATATATGTAATCCCAAACAAAAACAGATGAAATCCGGGTACAGTCCTAGCTACTCAGGAGACTGAGATCCAAGGATCATGGTTCAAAGCCAGCCCTAGCGGGAAAGTCCATAAGACTCTTATGTCCAATAAACTACTCAGAAAAAAAATCTGGGTGTAGTGCTGTGGCTCAAATGGCAGAGTGCTAGCAGCTCAGAGACAGTGCCCAGGCCCTGAGTTCAAGCCCAGGATGGACCAAATAATAATAATAATATAAGAAACAGGCCTGGATATGGGACTGATTGAGAAGTCATAGTTTTAACAGTTGTAAAATGCCCCCTGGGAGCCCCTCCAAGTAGGAGGGTCACATCCACATGATGAAGGTCATTTTGCTGTGTGTGATGGTAATTATTCATGGTGAGAGCTTCCTTTCTTGAACATTGATTCTTGACTAGTTAGGGTTGTTTGAGGTCTTATTTTTTCCGTTTTCTTCCTTTCCTTAGGAAGTACGAATGTTGACTCTGGTATCTGAAGCATCAAGTACAATGAATCACTCCGTAGTGTCTGAGTTTGTGCTTCTGGGGCTCACGAGTTCATGGGAGATGCAGCTTCTGCTTTTTGTCTTCTCCTTGCTGTTCTACTTTGCAAGCGTCGCCGGCAACCTGGTCGTTGTGGTCACTGTAACCTTAGATGATGCTCATCTGCATTCCCCCATGTATTTTTTTCTGGCTAACCTCTCAGTCATTGACATCATATTTGGCTCAATTACAGCTCCTAAGATGATTTCTAGCATTTTCAAGAAACACAAAACCATCTCATTTGAGGGCTGTATTGCCCAGATCTTCTTCAACCACGCAGTTGGGGGCACAGAGATGGTGCTGCTCATGGCCATGGCCTTTGATCGGTACCTGGCCATCTGCCGGCCCCTGCACTACCTGACCATCATGAGCCCGCGCGCGTGCCTGTGCCTTTTACTCACTTCCTGGGCCATCGGCCTCATCCACTCGTGGGTCCAATTAGCATTTGTGGTAGAGTTGCCTTTCTGTGGCCCTAATGTACTGGGCAGCTTCTACTGTGACCTTCCTCGACTCCTCAGACTGGCCTGCACAGACACGCGAGACCTTGAGCTCATGGTCACCATCAACAGTGGGCTCCTCTCTGTAGGTTCCTTTGTCCTGCTGGTCATCTCCTATGCCTTTATTCTGTTCACTGTCTGGAAAGGGGCTTCCAGGGCTTTGTCTAAGGCCCTCTCTACTCTGTCAGCTCATGTCACAGTTGTCGTCTTGTTCTTCGGGCCCTTGATGTTTTTCTACACATGGCCCTCTCCCACATCACACCTGGATAAGTATCTTGCTATTTTTGATGCATTTATCACTCCTGTTTTGAATCCTGTCATTTATACATTCAGGAACAAAGACATGAAAATGGCAATGAAGAGGCTGTGCATTCATCTTGTGCACCATTTCATGGATGGTTTGGCTATGAAAAATGGGCAAGTATAGATTCTCCCTCATGGTGGTTGCAGAGTAAATACTATGCAAATTCAGAGAAATACTCGAGACCTATGCCATATTATATGCCAGAAATCACTACCTACTAAATTATAGTTTTTTGTTTCAGCACTAAATTAGATGTGGCATTACTGTTTGATCCTCTGTACATCAAAGTGTTAAAAAAATCATATGTTCTTTGTAGCTCATCATATTCCAAGTCTATGTTTAGTGGGATATAATGTCAAATAATGATACGTTCTTCCATTGAGAGATAAACTATGCAGTCACATGATTCTTAACATATTTGCAACGTTTAATTCATTTATCCCTAAACTGTTTTCTGTTGCCACAGTGCCTACATACTTTGTCTCCTTATCAGACTGCAGACTTGGCTCCATCTGGAGAACTCTTATTCCTCTATGGAGAATATTGGCACTTAAAGTTAGAACAAAATACTGACACCATTTGCTCTGATCTGCTCAAGTCATAAATGATACAATAAAAACACAGAGGGGAAACTGTGATTTACCAAGAGAATACCCCCGGGGAATCCAGCCACAAGAAATCATGACCCTGGTTGCTAGAACAACCTTTGACTTTTAAATCAGGTTTTCATTTAAATTTATGCTCATATTTTACATACCTGGTGGGCCTGATTTTTACTAAAACTCCTCCTTTGTATTCCTTCCTCCTAAAAGTCATTGTCACATGCAGCTCTTCTTACTTGTGTCTCTGTCCACCGCTGCACATCTCCTCATCAGGCTCATCAGTGCTCAATTATGAGCTATTGGCTTAACACTGAAAAAAGGAAATCTATTATTAAATAACATACTGGTATTCATGGACACTTTAATTAAAACACTATTGAAGTCTCCTTGAGCTCTTACATAGTGATGCTTTTTCCACTAAATTACCAATGTCTAATCTATTTGAAATTTTTACATAGTATAACATAAGTGCCCATTTACATCTTCTGGAAGAATTGCTATTTGTCCCAATTCTTTCCTCTGAATTAAAACGAACTTTGGAATCAGCTGAGATGTCCAACAACTGCTGCATGGATAAAGACATGGCTATGGATAGACATGCTCACACACACTACAAGTGATTACGCTTTCATAAATAAAACAACAAACTCTGTCCTTTGCAGGAAAATGGATGGATCTGAGATCATCGTGTTGAGCTGGATTATTCAAACTCATAAGAACCAGATATCACATGTTCATTTATGGTGCATAGTGATTAAGTGATGATGATGATGATGATGGTGGTGGTGGTGGTGGTGGTGGTGGTGGTGGTGGCGATGATGATAGTGCTGATAACAGAAAATGGATGTAAAGCGGAGAATGCCTAGGAGGGGGTCAGTGGGAAGGGGAAGGTGGGATATGTAGGGGTGAAGAGAATGAAAGGACGCAGTACACACATATACACATGTGTGTAGAATATGAATACAGAATAATTCCTCTTTCATATTTGTTGTCAACAGTTCAAAACAAAGTCAGGGCTGGTGTTAGAAATGTGAGAATACTTAGAGATATTGCAGCCCTAGAATGAAATGATTTTCTATCTATATCAAAACTACAAAATAGGAATGCAAGTTTGACATCATTTAGGGTATAATCACTTAGCCGACGCTCACATTCAATAAAGGTGTGTCAGAACTCCTCATTTCATCCTTCAGCTTTGTCTTAATATACTAGTAATGGTAAATAAATGCCATCACAAAATTGCACATGGTTTTTGAGAATTCATGAGTGACCTGTCTGTGTGTGCGCGCGTGTGTGTGCATATGTGCGTGTATGTGTGAACCCTGCCAATATGTGCTTGATAAATGGAATATTTATGTTAATTTTAAATGTTGGTAAATAGATTCAATATTTTGGAAAATTAAAATCATTAAAAATGAATAAAATACAAATAACTTCTATTTTGTGAACTCTGTTTACAACTAGATGAAAAGCAATTTGTAGTGGGGCACCAGTAGCTCTTAACTGCTTCTACACAGTTGATAACACAGAGGACAGTGCGATAACCTCTTACATACAGCACTTTAATAGAATATTATATACTTTATTAAATGGAAGGGTTAATGTACTTTCAGGCACGATATCGGCCCCCAAACTGTAACCCTCCTGCCCCAGCACTCACAAGTAGGTGCGCAGGCAACCCATATTTCTCATTACTTCATTACATCTATTCATTTAAACAGATTTATGCATTAATTTATCCTGTGATTTCTATATGTTGCTTTTCTTTTGTGTATGTGTGCTGGTCCTATGGCTTGAACCCAGTGCCTGAGTGCTGTCCCTGAGCTATGTTGCTCTAGACTGGCACTCTACCAGTTGAACCACAGCTCCACTTCTGACTATTTTGGTAGTTAATTGGAAATAAGAGTCTCATGGACTTTCCTGCATTGGCTGGCTTTGAACTGTGATCCTCAGGTCTTAGCCTTGTGAGTTGCTAGGATTACAGTTATGAGCTACTGGTGCCCCACTACAAATTGCTTTTCATTTAGTTGTAAACAGAGTTCACAAAATAGAAGTTATTTGTATTTTATTCATTTTTAATGAGCTTAATTTTCCAAAATATTGAATCTACTTACCAACATTTAAGATTAACATATTTTTCTTTGTCGTATAAAAATAATTACTATTGTTTGGGATATAATTTGAATAGAAAATAATTGTCATACTTAATGAGTGGTATAGAGATTTATATCTTTTGGTCTCAAATGTTTTATTGTTTAACAATAATAAACTTTCTTTAGTTTTCCTGCAATTTACCACAAATTACAGTTTCTAATTCTAACTAAATCTAAAAACTTAAGTACTAGCCTCATTTGAGTTTGAGCAACAAATATTGCATTAGAAGTCTCCAGTTCTATTTAATCAAGTATGTCTATTTCCCTTAGTCCTCTAGATGTATGGATAACCACCAAAGTAAGTCCATATGTAAATAAATATGTTCTTAAGAATCAGAGCCAAAGAAGAGGGTAGCTGACAGTCGCTATTAATGGCTGTATCTGTATGTGGTAACTGTCACCAACGCCTTCAGTAATTAACACACTGTTCTCCAGGCTGAATGCACATCTCCAAAATTGCGTCAGAACCTCATGCACAGGTTCCCTATGAGGAACTGACCAAAAGAGCTCCTGAGAAGTAGTATTTTACAGTCCAATGAAAACACAGCCTGAGGACTGTTTCACAGTGCATAGTAGTCACTTAATTTAGAGGTTGTTCTTGGGCTGGGAAGGTGGCTCAGTGGTAGAGCGCCTGCCTTGCATGCATGAGGCCGTGGGTTCGATTCCTCAGTACCACATAAACAAAAAAAGAAAAAAAGCTGGAAGTGGCACTGTGGCTCAAGTAGTAGAGCACTAGCCTTGAGCTGAAGAGCTAAGGGACAGCACCTAGGCCCAGAGTTCAGGCCCCACGACCAGACCCAAAAATAATAAATAAATAAATAAACATTTAAAAAATTTTAAAAATAAAGGTTGTTCTTCAAGAACAGACAAGATGAGCTAAATGTTCTTAGATTCCACGCATGAAATAACGTTTTCTCAAACTTACTAAAGCCTTATCAAAAAGTCTCCTCATTGGCACCTGCATCTCCTTATTCCTAAATGTATAGATGACAGGGTTCAAAAAAGGAGTGATGAGGGCATCAAAGACAGCTAAAAATTTATCTATGGGTAGGGAAGGGAATGGCCACACATAGACAATAATGCAGGGACCGAAGAAGAACACCACCACGGTGACGTGAGCTGAAAGGGTGGACAGGGCCTTGGGAGAGCCACCCGAAGCGCGCTTCCGGACCGTGACCAGGATGAAGACATAAGACGCCATCAGGATGAAGAAGGTGCCTGTGGAGATGAAGCCGCTGTTAGCAGCCACCAAGAACTCCAGGCTGTATGAGTCTGCGCATGCAAGTTTGATGAACCGTGGAAAGTCACAGTAAAAGCTATCCATGGTGTTGGTGCCACAGAAGGGTAAGTTCACCATAAAGGCCAACTGGGCCACGGAGTGGAGCAGGCCCACAGTCCAGGCCAGAGCCAAAAGACAGGCGCAGGTTCTGGGGCTCATGGTGGTGAGGTAGTGGAGGGGCTTGCAGATGGCGACATACCGGTCGTAGGCCATGACGACGAGCAGCACCATCTCTGTTCCTCCCACCGTGTGGATGAAGAACATCTGAGTGAGGCACCCGTGCAAGGAGATGACTTTGTACGCTCTGAAGAGGTCGTACATCATCTTTGGAGACGCTATGCTGGCCACACCCGTGTCGATGAAGGAGAGGTTCGCCAGGAAGTACATGGGCGAGTGCAAGCGGCAGTCTGAGATGATGGTAAGCATGGTGAGGAGGTTTCCCAGCACACTGGCTACGTAGCACGTGGTGAAAAAGAGAAAAAGAAGAATCTGCATGTCCAAAGAACTCGTGAGTCCCAGCAACACAAATTCAGATAGTACTGAGTGATTTCCTCCACCCAACGGCTTCATGTGGGCCGGGCCAACCCTGAAGAGAGTCACCTGAAGAGCACAGAGAGAAGTTCTAATTTGTGAGCAGAAAGCTGTGTCTGGCTGCAGAGCCTCAAATCTGAGGACCACCAGGCCGTGGCACACGGTTGCTTACAGAAACTGCCCCAGAACTTCTCCAACTCTTGGATTATTTGCTTATTTGACCTCAAAATTTCTTTGAATCTTAGTGCATATCAAGACTAGAATAGAAACACAAATATTTAAGACTTTAAGAGGAGACATATTCGCAGTAAAGAAACATCTGCTTCTTAATTTCCACTTGGAAATAGTGCCTCAGAACTGGAACTTGCAGTCTCATTAGATTCTGGAGCTCTTTGGCTGCTTGGGTTTCAGTAACTTTATCAATTCATCTTAAACTTTTCATAATGTAACATAGTCACCACCCCTTACTGACACAGAAACTGTGCTGTCCTTTTCATGATTACTGTCCATTTCCACTCTTCCATCTTTTTCATATCAGATGCCAGTTTTTCCCCTTACCAGTAAGTTCCATTTCCTTTCTACTTTTCCCAACATGATTTAGGATGACATCTTCAGAAAACTTTTCTGCACTCTCTGCTCCCTACATCTCCCATTTAAAGTAAGTTTCTACCAAAACTTCTGGGGAAAAAACTCTTGGTTTTGCATTTCATGCTCCCTCAGTTTATTCTCCATATGCTTCTTTCTTCCATGACTTCATTCTCTCTTTGACAGATGCTTAACATGTCAAATGCCTAACCCTCCAGCCTTAGGTCTACATTTCACAGGTAGTCATATCTTCCTTAAACTTGGCTTTTGGATTGCTCAGCTCCTGATGTCTGGCCCTAAGTTGTGTGCTCATCTGAATTGTGTTCCCAGTCTCTTACATAATTGCAGCTAAGACAATTACTTCAAGAGCTTTGCTACAATAAATGTTGCTTCTACTTTTTTGTTGAGCATTTCTTTCTGGATAGAAGCACAAAATTTATGATATTCAGTTGTTTAGTCCTCAAAATTTAAAGACTTTCATGTCTTTTCTTGCAAAATAATCAGTAAAGAATATTTCACAGATTACAAAATAAAGATTGAATTATTTTAAATGAATTTCCTAATTTCGCACAGGTAGATAACTAAATTCAAGCTCAGTTTTTGAAATTATTCAATAAACACAATTTTTAATGTTGAAGCAAATATTAAAATTATAAATTATAATCCTTCTCGGCTGCGGAGGTGGCTCAGTGGTAGAGCGCTTGCCTTGTATGAATGAGGCCCTGGGTTCGATTCCTCAGCACCACATAAGCAAAAAGAATAAAAGCTGGAAGTGGCACTGTGGCTCAAGTGCCAGAGCACTAGCCTTGAGCTGAAGAGCTGAGGGATAGCTTCCAGGCCCAGAGTTCAGGCCCACAACCAAAAAAAAAAAAATTATAATCCTTCTATGAAGGAATTGTGGATAATTTTATTCTTGTTCTTACTTTTGTAAATATACTGTGTACATATATCTCTTTATAGAACAAAACAGCCAAGAACAAGCTGACTTCCAATTCCAGTGGCTCATCATTATACTACTTTATAAATCACTGATTATCCAAAGTAAAGACAATGATTAGGGGCTGCTGCTCCAGAACCTGCTGCCTCTGTAACTCCTCCAGCTAGAAAACACCTCTGCTGCCTCCTACTCTCACAGCCCTATGCTGTGCTAACTTCTAGCCCCCAGCATCACCCTTTCAAGATCAATTTCAGGTGCACATCCCACACTGAGGCAGCGCTACGTAAGGTGTGAAGAGTAACTCAAGGCGGTTACATGGGGCTGTGGGAATTTGGCTTTCCATCTGTTTTCATTTCAGTCTTACACACCTCTAGCTCTCATTACACACCCCCAGTTCCCATTATACACCCCAGCACCCTAACGTTCACCCTGCACACTGGCAACAGTCCTGCCAGTCCTGAGCACCCCACTTGGAAGGCCTTGCCTCTATCTGGACTTACTTCCAATGGAAAGATTTGTTGTGAGAATTGAGGTACACTATTTTCCACTCTCTGCTTTATCTGGATGACAGCAAAAAGTAAAAAAAAAAAAACTAACAAATCCCCTCCACTTCCTAGCAATGACCTATACTCAAAAATGAAAATGTTAGCCTGTTTGAAAAAAACAAATGGTTGGAACCAGGACTCTCTCTTACCTAAGTTAGATCAAATAATCTAATTTTTTCCTCAGATAGTGGGTCAATCCTTCAAAGTTTGGGGAGAAGATAAAAATATTTAATGATCTGAGAGCTGTGATTCCTAAAGAGAAAAACTGGAATTAGTTTTGATGGTGCTGAGAACTAAAATGATAGAAATTAAGTCTTCATAAAACATAGAAACTTAAAGCACACTTACAAATTTAATGACCATGAAAAACTAAAATGCTACCCATAAAAGAGAAGAAGACAGGAATGTGGAATAAACACACACACACACAGAAAGAGGAAGTGGCGCTGTGGCTCAAGTGGTAGAGCGCTTGCCTTGAGCTGAAGAACTGAGGGACAGCGCCCAGGCCCAGAGTTCAAGCACCATGACCAACCAAAATAAAAGATTTACACAAAACACAGAAAATCAGGCTGTTTCCTCCTCCTGGTACACTTTCTTTTGGCCTAAATTCTCATGCAAGATCCTGCTGTGTGCCTTCTGCAAAACATCCTCAGCAGTAAAATCACAAGTCACAGCCAGTCTTCTACTGGACACACATGATAAAGATATCAAACAAGATGAGAGGGGAAGGGGTTGGGGAAGGTGGTTCAATGGTAGAGTGCTTGCTTTGCATACATGAGGCCCTGGGTTCAATTCCTCAGCACCACATAAGCAGAAAAAGCCAGAAGTGGGGCTGAGGCTCAAGTGGTGGTAGAGCACTAGCCTTGAGCTGAAGAGCTGAGGGACAGTGCCCAGGCCCAGAGTTCAGGCCCCACGACCAACAACAACAACAACAAAAAGATTAGAGGGGAAGTAATTACTGAGCCATGGAGGCAGATTCTCTATCCAAAGCTAGGATGCATTAGTTTCTAGTTTGCTGTACTGAAAATCCTTCTTTTACATGCACCATGAGAGCAACTGAAATGAGAGCATTCTCCAAACCTGAGGAGGTCTGCTCTACCTTCTGACTGAGACCTTAAACTTTTCCAAAGCAAAACGTTATGTTGTTTTGCCCACGTAAGAAAGCTTCTAATCATGCATCTTAAATGGCAGTGACCAAATGACAGGGCCGTGTGTGGGGAATGGTCAAGCCTCCTCTGTTGGATTTCCCTGGGAGTTTATACCTCAGAGCACAAACTGATTTTCACCCAGGAAATAAGAAGGACAAAAGAAGAGGAAAACATCAGCTTCTGGATACCAAACGGAATGGGCACTACCTTGCATTAGGATGTTGCTTCCTTATGATCCAACAGAAGAAGCTACTGGGAGAGGGAAGACATGGGAATGCTTCAGAAGCGTGCTGGAAGGAGAAAATCATCAACCTATCCTGGGACTAACTGAGAAGCCACAGAATACCAGGCTGCCACCTACGTTGGCAATTTTGGCTTCTGAGACCCTATGCAGTCCCATGAGGCCTTAAACACAGACTTCAGACCACATATGTTTTCCCTCAGAGATACTGTCAAGTTAAAAAATGATCATTGGAGTAACAAAGAATTGTTATGTCACAGAGAAATATGACATGTCTACACAATAGAATATTACTCAAACATAAAAGTAAGCCAGGCACCAGTGGCTCACACCTGTAATCCTAGCCAGGAGGCTAGGATTACAGATCTCAGGAGGCTGAGATCTGAGAATTGGGGTTCAAAGCCAGCCCAGGCAGGGAAATCCATGAAACTTATCTCCAACTAAGCATCAAAAAGGCAGAAGTGGAGCTGTGGCTCAAGTGGTAGAGCACTTGCCTTGACAAAAACAAACAAACAAAAAACCTCTCAGGGACAGTGTCTAGGCCCTGAGTTCAAGTCCCAGAACTGGCACAAAAATAAATAAATGAAAATAAATCTTGTCATCTATAGCAAAATGTGTGTTACACTGCAGGACAATTTGTTAAGTGACTTGCGTCAGACAGAGAAGACAAGTGCCACATGTCTGCTTTTACATGCAAATACCAAGGAACAAACAAATCAATCTGATGGTGGGGGAGTGCTGAATGAGGGGAGGGACAGAGACAAAGTGCAGTGGAGCAGTATTGAGCTCCAGGGTTGAGCAGCAAGCACTCTGAGTATAGTTCACATTAAATTATCAGATCTTTCACGTGCAACGAGCAGAGAAGGTCTTGAAAGGTCCAAGCAATACAATGATGAGTGAACACAAGGTTTATTGCCCTGTGCATACTGTTAGACGTATGTTGTTAGACTCTATACCTCATAAATATGCACAAGTAACATTGATACTCACTTGACACTATGTTGGATATAAGCATTACAACTTGGGGGGGGGTAAACGGGAGATAAAGAGGGATGGGGTAACAATGATCAAAAACAAAGGTACTCACTGCCTTACCTGTGTGACTGTAACCCCCAGCTCATCGCCTTTTCAATAATAAATTAATAAAAATAAAAACACGCACAGGTATCATGTGTTCATCTAAAATTTTAAGTATGATTTATGGGACTTCCGGCAGATGGGAAGCCATGAAAAGAGTCAGGGAAGGAAGGCAGACTACATTCTAACACGGGGAAGGGAGGGAGGACAGGTGGAATCACAGAAGAGGTGACAGAAGGCCGGGGCGGGGGCGGGGCAGTGTCCTGGCAGTGTCCGGGGCAGCCTCCTCCTTGAGGGGCTTTTCTGCCAGATTGGGCTGAGCACCCTGGGGGTCTATAAGCCGCTTGGTTTCCCCAGACTCCTCCCTCTGAAGTACTGAGGCTGAAAGGCACACTTTGGGGCTTTTGTGTTTTTCCCCCCTGCAACAGCGGTACTGCTTGTGCCCCTCATGCTGCAGCACACTTAGGGACCCCCAGACTTGGTGCACAGGGAAGCTGCCCACCCACAGGCCACGATGAGGCTGGAGGCCAGCAGTGAGCCTGGATATGCAAAGAAGGCAGCACGAGAATGCAGTCTTGGTTCTAACATTTGACCCTTCACCCCATACCCAACACCGTGCTGAGCAGCACTTTTGCTGCTGGACAGTTTTATCTCCTCTCAGGGGCTCTGGGGATGGAGCAATCAAGAGATATCTCAGTAAAAAGACACCCAAATAAAACTGCAAGAAGCCAGGCGCCCGTGGCTCACGCCTGTAATCGCAGCTATGCTGAAGGCTGAGAACTGTTGATTGCAGTTTGAAGCCAGACAGGGCAGGACAGTCTGTGAGACTCATCTCCAATTAACCACCAGAAAATAAGAAGTGGCCGGATAGCTCAAAGTGGTAGAGCACTAGCCTTGAGCAAAACTTCAGTGACAGAACCCAGGCCCTGAACTCAAGCCCCAGGAACAGCATAAATAAAAACAAACAAACAACAAAAAAACTGCAAGAGATATCCAAATCAACAGGGAAACAAGTCACAGCATACTCACAATAAATATGAAAAACCAAGATACATGACTCCTAAAATGTCCTCAAAAAGTTATTTAGTAACTGAATCCAAGATATGGAGAAAGTTGAAATGCCACACAACAAATTGAAAATCACCTATAAAAATTAACAATTGCTAGGCACCAGTGGCTCACACCTGTAATCCTAGCTGCTCAGGAGGCTGAGATCTGAGGATCGCAGTTTGAAGCCAGCCCAGGCAGACAAGTCCCTGTGAGACTCTTATCTCCAGATAACCACTCAAAAACTGGAAGTGGTGCTGTGATTCATGGTGGTAGAGCACTAACCTTGAGTAAAAAGAGCTCAGGGAGAATGCCCAGGCCCTGAGTTCAAGTCCTGTGACCCACAAAACAATTGACAATTATAAAAATTAACATACATTGAACATGCAAATTGATGACATTCAGTGTATGGCATTTCCACACATGGATATGTCTTGCATTTGTCACACTCAATGGCCTTCTACAATCACTCAATTATCCCTCCCCTCCCCTTAGCACCTTTCCCAGTCCCTAGCAATTCCATTTCTGCTTTCAGGTCTTTTTTTTTTTTTTTTATAGGAAAGGGAAGACACAATGATTGTCTTTATCTGTTTAGTTAACTTAGATTTACAGGAAGCCCTTTCATCCTTTCTCCCAGAAAAAAATATAATTTGGTTTTTCTTGGTGGCTAAATGACTCTCTGTGGGATCCAGAACCCACATTTCCCTTATCACCTCATCCCTTGGTGAGCACTGAGGCTGATTCCATGACTTGTATTGCAAGCAGAGCCTCAGTGACCATGATCTTCATTGTAGGCTGACTTGAATTCCTTTAAGAATATACTAAGGAGTGATGGAGCTGAATTACATAGTTCTATTTTCAGATTTTTGAGGAAACTGCAAACTGAATATGATAGCGATTGTGTGTGTGTGTGTGTGTGTGTGTGTGTGTGTGTGCATGTTGGTTCTGGGGCTTGAACTCAGGGCCTACAAACACTGTCCTTGAGCTTGTTTTGCTCTAGGCAGTGTTCTCCAACTTAAGCCACAGCTCTACTCTCAGATTTTTTGGTAGTTAATTGAAGAGTCTCCAGACTTTCCTGCCTGGACTGGTTTTGAACCAGGATCCTCAGATTTCAGCCTCCTCATTAGCTAGAATTATAGGCGTGAGCCACAGTGCCCAGCTAATTAATCGAAAGGAATTTCAACAACAGTTTCATAGTAAGTATCCTTTTCTTCCCCTTTTTTCTATTAGCTAATTCATGTGAAGACACTTGTCATAGATACCATTTGGGATTAGGTCACTCTATAAGGGTATAAACTGTTCTTCCGCCCTGATATTACTTCTGCAGCCTCCTTTGTCCCTTTTATATAAGAAAGTGTCAGTGTGGAAAGAAAACAATACGTCTGAGGTCTTTCAGGTTCCACTGGAAACCCTTCCTCACTCTTCTTTGGGCTTTGTTTAGTAAGTTCCTGTCCACAGGTCGAATTTGTCCTAACAGGGTGCTAACTTATACAACTGGCAGAATCTAAATGAATGCACTTTTTTTTTCTGTCAGTCCTGAACTCTGGGCCTGGGCACTGTCCCTCAGCTCTTCAGCTCAAGGCTAACACCCTACCACTTGAACCACAGCACCACTTCCAACTTTTTCTGCTTATGTGGTGTTGAGGAATTGAACCCAGGGCCTCATACATGCAAGGCAAGCACTCTACCACTGAGCCATCTTCCCAGCCCCATGAATGCACTTTTGTTTTTTACTATAAAGCTCATTACAGTCAGATACCCAGCTACTCAGGAGGCTGGGATATGAAGACTGAGGTTCAAAGTCAGCCCAGGCAAGAAAGTCTATGAGACTCTTACCTCCAAAGAGTAGAGCACAAGGCCTTGAGCAAGAAAAGCTCAGGGACAGCATTCACACCCAGAGTTCAAGCCCCAGGACACACACACACACACACACACACACACACACACACACAGAGAGCAAAGCTCATTGTGCTAAGGCACTTATTGAAAAAAATTACAGTTCATTGTGATTCATATATATATTTATACATAGAGGAATATACTCGATGCTGTCTTGCTATTCACTTTTTTTTAATATCAGCAGGATTATGGACCTCTTTAACATACAGAGTTTAAACTTGCTTCTCAGTGACTTAAGAAATTCCTGTAATGTCACATAATTTCTCTAATCTATTTTCAATTGATATGATTTCATTCATCTAAGATTTAGTAGAATGTACTTCTTTCTGTAAAGCTAAATATAAGTACATATCCATAATTATTCACCCTATTATTTTATAAAAATGTTTTCATGTTTTATATAAATATACTTTGAAAAATACATTAGGTTTTGGAGTTGATTATTTATACTTAGTTTTTTAGTTCATATTTACCAATTCACATAGATTAATTGGCTGTAACTATCATTATTCACAAATACTAGCACAATGATACCAAAAGAATTCCACATTTCTTTTTTGCTTTCTCCCTGGTGTTGTATTATAAATTTTTAAATTATTTGGTCACACTGGCCAAAACAAGTATTTCTCCTGGGGGAAAGTCCCTGAACCACAAACTCCTCACAAGCCCTCAAGTTTCCTGCCATATCACTTGTTCTCTGGCCTCCTGAGGTGAATATAATCAGCTTCGTATATCCCTGTGCCCCACAGCATTTCCTGCTGGAGAACTCAGCACCATCCCAGTCTGTGAAGATGCTGCTCTTTCTGTGCAGGTAAAATGGTGGGTGGAAATGAACTTAGCCAGGAGAAGAGCGGCTTTATTTTCAGATGTGATTCTGTTGCTGAACAGGAGTCATCTCCTGAAGTGCATGTCTGAGCCTACAGTAGACATCCAGAAAAAGACATTCAGTATGCAGAGGAAAGTAACTGTAAAAAAAATAGAGCTCACTTGACCCTGGAAAAGGCTTACTGACCGACATTGAATTACATTATGCCTAGAGAAATATAAGACATGAGAAATATAAGACATGGATTGAATGTAATTTGCAACTAATCAGTGTGTTCTTCATGACTAAGTGAATGGTCTCACCTCTGCCGCCTTGTAAAAAAGCACAAGAAACTGATGGCACAAAAATAAGAAAAAGGCTATATTTTCTCCACTGCCTTTTCAAAAGGTTCATCTTCTGTAAAATGTAAGCAACTTTATAAGAAACTTGACAATTTGCCAAAGGAAGATTCTCACAGATACCTGAACAGCAATAAAATGTAATATGGAGACCATCAGGTCCCATACAGGGAATTTCTAAAGCGAAGTTATTTTGAACTGTAATGTAAAAGAGTTCAAAATAATACTTAGAATTATCAGGAATCATATTTCTTTCTTCTGTGGTTTGTAATTAAAGTACTTATATCTGAATTCTAAGTACATTCTACTTAAGGTTTAAGAGTTTCAACAAATGGTAATTTTCCTGAAGAAAAGAGAGAAACTGAATTAGTTAAATGATAGTGAAACATAAAATGAAGGCTGTGGGCTGACTTGTTTCACTTATAAACAGAAGTATTTATTTGAAATAAAATATTTGTATTTCCCACAGCACTGATTAAATGTAGAAATGTTCTTAAATTAGAAGAATCCAGGGGCTGGGAAGATGGTTCAGTGGTGGAGTGCTCACCTTGCATGCATGAGGCTCTGGGTTCAATTCCTCAGCACCACATAAGCAGAAAAAGTTGGAAGTGGTGCTGTGGCTCAAGTGGTAGAGTGCTAGCCTTGAGCTGAAGAGCTGAGGGGCAGCACCCAGGCCCAGAGTTCATGCGCATGACTAATAAGAAAACAAAAACAAAAAACAAACTGTGTTCCCCAGAGCTCAGCCTCCTGAATAGCTAATATTTATTTATTTATTTTCTCCAATCCTTCCTTACTTTTATAATAATCATTTTCTGGTTTTCCCTGTCAAAACTCTATGTCAGTGTCTTTGCCTGTCCTGTTTAGTTGTGTAATCACTCATGTTCTCATGGTGGTGATTTTTAATCATTCAAATGTACCCCTTTCTATCTTAGTCGCTGAATTATACTTGCTGTTACTCCAGTGTTGGGTACACTGGAAACAAATGTAGTATTGACTTCATAGGGATTCCAGTCTACTTGAGAAGCAGAGTGAGTCAGTGAACTACCTTTGTAATAAGAACCAAACAGAGAAACAGTGATATTTGATAGCAAAGACATTTAATTTACATTTGAAAGTGTAGTTGATCTCTAAAATATGAATATTATGATCTACTACTGAATAGGAGAGAATTTGTCTATTTTGAAATATCTTTTAGGTCTGAGGTACTGATACACACTACCTCACAATGCCAACCCTTCTTCTACATATTCTTTTTTTCTTCTTTTTTTATAGGTCCTGGGGCTTGAACTCTGGGCCTGGGCACTGTCCCTCAACTCTTCAGCTCAAGGCAAGCACTCTACCACTTGAGCCACAGCACCATTTCCAGTTCTCTGGTGGTTCATTGTAGATAAGAGTCTCATGGACTTTCCTGCCCTGGCTGGCTTTGAACTGCGATCCTCAGATCTCAGCCTCCTGAATAGCTAGGATGACAGGAGTGAGCTATAGGCGCCCAGCTCATTTATTTTGTACAGGCAAGCAAATGAAAAGAAAGTAATCGTAGCACACACTTACATACGGAATACTTACATACTAAATTGTTACAATCACTGTTCTATCTCTGAAACTCACCATTAAGAAATCATAGTTTGGCTATTCAATAGATAAATAAACTGAGGCTAAGTAGTGTAATTACCTTGCCAAATACTAATTTGTAGGTGACTGAACCATGCTATTATTCCTAGTTTTGGAATCCAAAATCCACATTCTGTCTTCTATGTTGCTTTCCTAAATAAAACTAAAATCACAATGTACTTGATAGATCCTTTCATAGAGGTTTAAACAAAATACTTCTAATACAACATGTGACCTTTCGGTGGATTAAGCTTACGGGCCTTGTGCTAAAATTTCTGGTCATTGATTTACACAGTGTGGATTGTTACTTTGCTAGAAAGGAAAATCATACTGGGTGCCAGTGGCTCATACCTGTAATCCTAGCAACTCTGGAGGATGAGATCTGAGGATCATGGATCAAAGTCAGCCCAGGCAGGAGAGTCTGTGAGACTGTTTTTTTGTTTTCTTCCATGAGATTCTTATCCTCAATTAACCACCGAAAAAACAAAAAACAAAAAACCAGAAGTGGAGTTGTGGCTCAAAGTGGTAGAGTACTAGTCTTGAGCAAAAGAGTGACAGTGCCCAGGTCAAATTCAAACCCCACAACCAAAAAAAAAAAAAAAAAAGCAAAATCATTTCTAATTTCTAGAGAATTTTCTAAACACTTATGAGCATTTGCCCACCTTACATGACAGAAGGTATTAAACAGAAGTTTCTGATCATGACATCTGCTTCAGCTTGGTGAGTTAGTCTAGCACCAGATCACTTAATTACAGGGACAACAAAATAAATGCCATACCATAAAGCAAGACCCATAGTTACGCTACACTTTTAATGAGCCTTGGATATAAATATTGTGCAGAGGTGGCAGACATGAAGGAAGTTCTTCTTTGTCTGAGTAAGGTCTGTCTTCTTTAAATGTGAGGCAGCTGTTGGAAAGAGGTAGCTTTGTACCTGAACCAGGTTATATATTAGTCTTGAGAGCAACATCAAAAGATTGAGGTTAGATTGCTCTTTTCCATTTTGACCATCCTCTGTCTCATGAGGAAAATCCCAGTGATCGCCCTGGAGAAGCAGATAAACGTTAAAGTCCAGAGCCAGCTCTGCCTGGAATGTGACAACATGGCTGTCTTTCCTTGTGCCTTCTGTGTGGGCATAAGGCCTAGATCTATGGCATGAAAGGAGTCTCCCCCACTCATATTTTAAAACTATAATTAAGAAAGAAATGCTGTAGTTATTTATGGTGCACAACTTGATATGTGTGCACATTGTGAAATGATTAAATCGATCTAGCATATTCATACACTCTCCTACTTTTGGTGGTGATTACATTTGAAGATTTACTCTCAGCAATTTTTGGTGACTACATTTGAAGATTTATGCTCATCAATTTTTAATTATGTATCGCAGTACTGTTATCAACCATGGTTACTAAGCTGCAAAGATGATCTCCAGAAATTTAGCTGTCCTGTCTAAGTGAATATTTGTACCTTTCAACCAATGCCTTCTCATTCTATCTTCCCATCCAACAACTTTGTACATGATCTGCCATTGTTCTCCCCGCTTCCACGAATGTGACTTCTTTAGGATTCCACATATAAGTTACTATCTTTCTCTGTCTGTTTAAGTTCACCCCAGGTTCACTCATGTTATTAAAATATTCAGTTGTGAATCTGAGTGTGTGAGCACATTCCTGGGGTCCAGCTACTTGGGAAGTAGATATAGAAAGATCACACTGGAGACAAATAATGCAAGATGCTCTCTTCAGAACCAAACCGAGGCAACAGGCTTGGGTGCACAGCTTGTGAGCTCAGTGCCCAGTGTCCTTAGGGATGAGCTCATTTATACTCTCAGAACAGTGAACAAGGCTGTCCTCATTTGCTACCCACTGCAAACTTGTCCACCTGACTCATTAATAACACTCATTAATAACATGTGTTTCATGCTGGTTTTAATTCACACTTCCCTGATAGTGATATTGATCCCTTGTCCATACACCCATTGGCCTTTAGGTTGGTTTTAAAAATGCTGAAATAAAAACGGGCTTTCACAACTTAGATCCCTCTCCTTCTCTGTTAATGTATCCATCCTCGCTCAGTGTCTTCTATTGTTCTCCCAGCTAGCACGGCCAACAGAGCCCATGGAAGGAGCAAATCGCTCTGTGGTGTCAGAGTTTGTGTTCCTGGGGCTCGCCGGCTCCTGGGGTCTCCAGCTGCCGCTCTTCCTCTTCTCCTCCGTGCTGTATGTGGCCAGCATGGCAGGGAACGCCCTCGCTGTCCTTGCGGTGGCCTTGGACTCTCACTTGCACTCCCCTATGTACTTCCTGTTGGCCAACCTCTCCTTCATTGACTTGGGTGTGTCTTCTGTCACTTCCCCCAAGATGATCTGCGACCTTTTCAGAAGACACAAGGTCATCTCCTTCAGAGGCTGTGTCGCTCAGGTCTTCTTCATCCATGTCATTGGTGGTGTGGAGATGGTGCTGCTCATGGCCATGGCCTTTGACCGGTACGTGGCCATCTGCCGGCCCCTGCACTACCTGACCATCATGAGCCCCCGGCTGTGTGCCTGCTTTCTAGGGGCCGCCTGGGTGGTGGGCCTTGTGCACTCAGCGGTGCAGCTGGCTTTTGTAGTGAATTTGCCTTTCTGTGGTCCTAATGTGCTGGACAGCTTTTACTGTGACCTTCCTCGGCTCATCAAACTCGCCTGCACAGACACCCACCGACTGGAACTCATGGTCTCAGCCAACAGCGGCTTCATCTCCGTGGGCACCTTCCTCATCCTGATGGCTTCCTACGCTGTCATCATAGTCACGGTCCAGAAGCAGGCGTCGGCCGGCTCTGCCAAGGCCCTGTCCACACTGTCAGCTCACATCACGGTGGTCATCTTGTTCTTTGGCCCTCTGATGTTCTTCTACACGTGGCCAAGTTCCTCCACACACCTGGATAAGTTTCTGGCCATATTTGATGCCCTTGTCACTCCTTTTCTGAATCCTATCATCTACACACTCAGGAATCAAGAGATGAAGGTGGCCATGAGGAGAGCCTGCAGACAGCTGCTGCGTTACAGGAAGATCTCTTAAGTGACCTTGTGACCATCGTCACTGAGCAAGGGAGTTCACTGCATGTCAAACTCAGGGCTATTCTTTCTTTTCCTCCCTTGATTTGATTACCTACACTTCTATTTGGGAGGGAAGAAAAATACCTTCAGAAAACAAAGATGGAGTTACAAATGAAGTATTTATAAAGCTTATAATAATACCAAATTTTAATTTCTATGGAATAGTATTTATATGTAATAAACTCTTAAGCATACTGAAGACAAAAAACTTATTTTAAGTCCTTCAAAAAGGAAATATTTTCTCCCTCTTGCATGTTTTTAAAAGCAATTTATCTTACATTCAAGAATGTCTGCAGTACTTCATGAGGGTATTTATAATGGGTTATATATAAAGGGATATTGAACTAGGTCACCTATCTATCTCTGCAGCTAGCACACATTCTTTCCCTTTTTGGGTGTGATTTGTGCAAGCTCAGATAGCCTAGGACTTTCTTTCCATATATATATATATAATGTGTCTTTGAATAGAAGCTTCATGAGTCCTGTTTTGGACTACCAAAGAAAATCTAATAAAATAGAATATCCTGCCTGATTGATAAATCATTTGATTTCCACTTTTCTTTTCTTTCTCCCCCTTCCTTCAGCAAAAAAGCTCAGGGACAAGCCACGTACCAGCGGGTCACACCTGTAATCCTAGCTACTCAGGAGGCTGAGATCTGAGAATTGTGGTTCAAAGCTAGCCCAGGCAGAAAACTCCATGAGACTGTTTTTCTTTTCTTTCCTTTCCTTTTTTTGTCAGTCGTGGGGCTTGAACTCTGGGCTTGGGCACTATCCCTCAGCTCTTCAGCTCAAGGCGAGCGCTCTACCGCTTGAGCTATAGTGTCACTTCCGGTTTTCTAGTGGTTTATTGGACTGGTACAAATAATAATAATAACAATAATAATAGCAACAACCAGTGCAAAAGACAGAAAGGCTGGCAGTGTGGCTCATTGGTAGAGTGCCTGCCTTGCTAGCAGGAAGCTTGTGTTCAAACCTCAGTACTGCAAAGAAATAATAACTCTTAATACTGAGTGCCAAATAGATCGATTCAAAAGCTCTACCCATTAGGCTCATAAGGTAAATCCTGTAACTGCTTTTTTTTTTTTTTTGTATGTCATGGGGCTTGAACTCTGGGCCTGGGCGCTGTTTCTCAGCTCTTCAGCTCAAGGCCAGTGGTCTACCACTTGAGCCACAGTGCCACTTCCAGTTTTCTGGTGGTTCATTGGAGGTCAATCTCACGGAGTTTCCTGCCAGGGCTGGCTTTGAACTGTGAGCCTCAGATCTCAGTCTCCTGAGTAGCTAGGATGACAGGCGTGAGCCACCGACTCTCTGCACTGTTCTTTTTTTATGAGAGCTTTTTTTATTTTATTATTCTATCCCATTTAATTTTTTTTCTAGGAACACAGTTAGCAATGCATTGAATTTATTTTACAAGCCATCAGTAGACCACACTGAAGTTTAAAAATACTGCATTTGATCATAGACCAATTTGAATTTTGTTAAGAATCAGAAGCTGGGAGACTATTTTTAATAATAACCAAAAATTCTTCCTTTTCTTTCTGTGTCCTGATTTTTCCAACAATGGAAAATCAATCTCAATCTCTGTTTCTCTCTGGGTGTCCTTTTCATACACTTTTAAATGATACCAACCTAGGTCCTAGTGAGTGTTGTCATTCAAGAGCTCTCTAGTTCAGATTCACTTTTGTAATATTTATAATATTAACAGTGCACAAAAATTGTAATATGGAGTCTAATCACCTTTACAAATAGTTAAAGTTAGCTACATTATTAGGAATAAAGTTTTCAAACTGTGATACCAAATTCCCTCCTCTTTCTTTCCTTCCCCAATTAGGAATTTAAGAATGTGATGCAAAAAGGTGCTTTTCTCATTGGAACAGAGCTCTGAGAGAACATGTTGCTTTATGCTGGACTCTAGACTTCGCGTTGCTCTGTCTTGGCCAGCACTGTCTTTGTGAGCCCACTGCTGTTCATGCTCTAGACACAGAGCTGACACACACCTCCACCATGTTGAAGCCTCACTGGATCTTCACCACCTGAATTACCAGCCAGACCAAAGAACTACGTCTTTGGAAGAATGAGCACCACACAAAGGAATTCTATGCTTCCATCAGAAAGAATAGCATCGCCCCATTTGTAAGGAAAGAGAAAGACTTGAAATAAGTGAAGTAAGCCAGACCCAATGAAACATAGATCCCATGGTTTCCCCTCATTTGTAATAATTCGTGTATGTCTAGGATAGTCCTAGAAGAGTACCACAATAGCCCTATAGCTATGTGCATATGAGATATAAGATGATGCTAAGCAGAATGAGCTCCAAGATAAAGAAACAAGAGGTTTTACTTTGTTGCTGTGGTTTTTAAAGTACTATGTGAAGTTACTTCTTTTGACTTTAGTTTTTTTCCCCTGTGGTTTATCCCCTGTTGTCACTGTATTTGTTTTGGTGGCCTATGTCTTGTATAAATATTTGTCTGAATTAGGGAAGGGAAGGAAAACAACAAAATGGTGAGACAAAGGACAATGGGGAACAAATGCAACAGTGACACCAATGAGACAACATGTTGGAAATGATCTTTACAATTTGGGGGAGATGGAAGGTAAGTGGGAGAAAAACGAGGGAAGGGTAGCAAGTTTTGACAGGAAATGTACTCGCTACTTTACATATATCTGTAAATCACCTCTGTACATCACCTTGACAATATTTTTTAAAAAACAGGTGAAAGAATAAACCAAAAAAATAGTTCATCCTGAGAAATATGTGCCTGAAACTCGAGACCATTCAGACCTCAGTACATGCTCAATTTTCCCTAGACATACAAATTGGGCACAGGAAGAGATTAACAACTGATAATGAAGAACAATACTGATAACATACTGTAATAATAGTTTCGTGAGCCGGGCGCATAAGGCTCATGCCTGTAATCCTAGCTACTCAGGAGGCTGAGATCTGAGGATCGCGGTTCAAAGCCAGCCCGGGCAGGAGAGACCATG